CGTGAATCCAAACAAAAAATAAGACAATAGGAATTTGGGATCATGCAAAGCCGGGAAAACACAATATCAATTCTAAGTTCAAAGCAAATAAATCTCGTGCCATGAATGCAATGTTATGCATGTCACTCCCCATTTTCAGAAAAATATCATCATTTCACAAACTGTTAATATAACTCGCCCTTTGGTGACTCCGCAGCGACACGAGAGAAGGATTGGCTATTATTTCTGACCTTTGATACCTCTGCAGCGTCATTTGGGGCTCAGATAGCTCAACCACGCTAGGGCAATCTCCTTAATTCCCTCTATGATATATTAACATACTGGTCCTTTGGTGACTCCGCGGCGACCGAGTTTTTCCCAAAAAAACTATTTTATCAAATTCTCCCCAAAATCCCCTTTTAATTTCATTTCAAAACACTTTCCCTTTTCTTTCATACCCAATGCTTATGTGCATATATGAAAATGGAGAGAATTTTTAACACACAATTAACAAACTTTCACATAAATTTCTAACAAATTAATTGGCATGGAAAACTAACACATTAAGCATATTTTTATTTTATTTTATTATTATTATTATTATTATTTTTATACAATTCAATTAAATACACGTTATAATTCAATTAAATACACCTTCTTACATATTTCATATATACAATTAAGTACTTTAAAGAACAATTATTACAATATAGCATGCTAGGATACTAATCAAGAAAAATTAATTCACAAAGGAACAATCATCACAATTTAGCATGCTAGGACACTAATCAAGAACAATTAATTCACAAAGGAACAAGATTGTAAGAATTAGAGACCCTTACCTCTATGTTATGCAAAAAAACTCCCAATTTGCACCGCAAACCCTTCAAATGGGTCAAGATTTTCGGACTCCCTAGAGTGGCCAAAAGCTAAAATTGTTGGTATGAATTTGAAGACTTCGTCATGGGCTCCAATTTGCCGCAAACGGCACTTCAAAATACCAAGAGATGAGGAATTAACCAAGCTTAATTGTAAAAAAAATAAAAATAAAAAAATAAAAAAAAATAAAAAAAAAAAGGAGGCAAGCGGCAGAGAGGGAGCAACCTGAGAGAGAAGAAAAAAAACAGAAAAACAGTGAGCTGTAACGACCCATTACCCATTCTATGGACCTAAAATTGGAGTGGATCCCACCCATTTTTTTTTTCTATTCTTTTCTTTTTTTTCTTTTGCTGTTAAAGTACACCACACGGTCCACACACACAAATATATACACATGTGCACTTATACAGGCATTACATCTCTTTTTATAGTTTTTAATCCTAAAAGTCAGACCAACGGACCATAACTCGTCCTAAATTAAATGCGCTAATAAATATGTTTTTTTTTTTTTGGGTAAATACTAATAAATATGTTATCAGTGCAACAGTTACACCTTTTGAAATTTCTCAGTTAATTATAATATAATATTGAATATAATAAAAAATAATATAATATTGAACTTGAAAAGAAAAAATAATCTTGGAAGAGAATAAACTCTCAATTCTTGAATTTCAATTTGGCGATCCATTTTGTGAATGTCATAATATTCATATATATATCTATACTTCCATACAAATGTCAATTTTTTTTTCTATGCGCATTTTTAATTAATAGTTACATATATCACTCTTTTAATGTTAAAATAATGAGGCGTCTTAGTTTTTTTAAGAAGGGTTACTTACATGAAATATTTTTTGATATTTTTTTTTTCTTAGAGCATGTATTTCGACCCCACAACATACGTACTATTCAGGAATACGGTTCAAAATATTTTTTAACATTAATATATTAACTTATTACTTCTTTATCTTTTAGACTTCCCTTCAATCTACTTTAAATACATAAACCAATAAAGTGCATTACACGTTCATTTCTATTTGTTGTGAATCCATAATATCAATGTTTTACCTTTTTTTATACATTTTATTTAATTATTTCTTTATCTTTTGGACATTTCTTCATTCTAAAACACTAAATAGTAAATACAGAAGTAAATAAGATGAAAAGTATCTAAAAAATGTTTATTCTTTACATATATATATATATATTTTTAACTCAGCGAAAAAATTCTTCATTTTAAGATCAATAAAGAGTTAAAACTATCTTGGTCCCCATTTCAAACTCAACCCACTATTCCAAACTCAACCCACTTTACTAGTAAATGACATCATTGTTAGATTGTATTGTGTTGGGCCTAAATTTTGGGCTGGATTGTTCTTAATTAAGTGCTCTATGGTTCATTTCCCCCTCAACCTATATTTGTGTACATTTAACTAAGGAAAAAAAAAAAAAAATTAAAAAATTACATTTATCTATGGATAGGAACAAATTGTATAAATTCCTTTTTTTAACAAATATATATAGTATTTTTTATTTATTTATTTTTTGTAACCTGATCAAATATTATAAAGATTGGAAGTAAAGATTCTCATAAAACAATTCAACATGAAGCCTTGCCTCGTCAAATCACCTATCCTTCGACTAAGAACACATTTAACCATCTCATGTATAACTTTATTACATAATCTTGGGCACCAAATTAACTCAAATCCCGAATCTTAATGAATCAACAACTAGATATTTTGAATGATGACCGAACATAAAGGATCCGTAAGAATAAGATTAATCACTTACCGGCAATAAAACTCAACGTTCACATTTGAATAACCCCACTGACCAAGAAATTTCAAACTATCTTTGAGGATTAAAGCCTTTGCAACCTCTGTGCTGCTCATTTCTTTAATAAAACATTGCAGCCACCTTGACAACTTTTTCAGAGTAATTACAAAGCACAAGCCACCCCCAGTGTATCTTTTTACCATATATTTGTTGTAATTTCGGGGATCCTTCCATAAGGTTGTGCATTTAAAGGTCACAATTAATCATTTAATTTGTAAAATATGAAATTCTTCTAATGTGAAGTCTCTCGTTCTGTGACTTTTTTTTGCCCCGTTGTAACACTCTTATTTTGATATTTAGATTTTGCAAATAGAGTGCCACATTTTCTCGAAGCACGCACGCACGGAGGACAAATTGTAAAAAAAAACTCCTCAACTTTCACTCGTTTGCAAATTTATAAATATCTTTACCAATTAACCCCCTCAACTATCATGAGGGAGTCATTTTAATTAACCTGTGTTAGAATGATTGTGTGAGGAAAATTTTCGGACAAAATTACCCTTAACATGAAATATTCGTTTGAGTGATTGTGTAATAAAATTTTCGAACGAAATTACCCTTAAAATCAAAACAATACATTAGTATTACTAAAGCACCCACCACTCACTTTTTTTTTAACTGCATAAAACACAAACGAATTTTGAAACGAGGCCTTTAATTTTTTCTTTCATTTTTCATTTATATGTGTGTGTGTGTGTGTAGCATATCACAATTTAATTTAAAAGTATTGGGATTAAGATTTATGATGTTGAAAAAAATAAAATTTTATGTCATAATAAACGCTTTGATAGAATAAATAAATAATTAAAAATAGTCCAAACAAATATTTGTTATTTAAGTGAAATATCTTTTGACTATAAACAAATAAAAAATAAGTGTGAAATATGTTTTGGGGTGGGGGAAGGGGGTTTTGTTTCGATATTATGGTGGACACCACTTGATTTTTTTTGGGTATGCTGTATCCAAAAATTTTAAGAATCTTATAAATTTTTACTTTTAAATTTTATTAAAAATCATGATACTGATATTTTTGAATTTCTCGTATATATATCTCTTTCTTTATCTTATTTTATAAAAAATCATGATACAAGTTTTTTTTTTAAGTTAAAAAAAAAAAAATGTGTGTGTGAGTACTAACTAAGATTTTTTTTTTTTTTTTCACCAAAATCAATTTAAGTTGACATTTGATAAATAACTACCATATTACTATATATATTCCAAATGCAAGAATATTTCCAAAAAAAAATCAAAAGCCTCGTTTCATAATAAGATGCCTTGTTTTTGTGTTTTATGCCGTTAAAAAAATAAAAATAAAGTGAGTGGTGGGTACTTTAGTAATACTAATGTATTGTTTTGATTTTAAGAGTAATTTCGTCCAAAAATTCTATCACACAATCACTTTAACATAGGTTAGTTAAAATAACCCTCTCATGATAGTTGAGGGAGGTAATTGTTAAACGTATTCCTAAGGGAAAATTTTTGCAAACAGGGTGAAAGTCGAGATTTTTTTTTTTTTTTTTACAATTTGCCCTATATTATATTATTATGCTATTAGAAATTTACAATACTTACCCTGTTACATATTACCATAGTCAATTTTTCATTTTTAAAATATCCCTAATTAATTATCTAATTTGAAAAGTCAAAATAAAATAAATGTTATATATTTTTTTGGATAATTAAATAAATGTTATATTTCTATAATGATGCTAAATTTTTAAAAACTTTCTAACTTTAAAATGACAAGTTGGTAAGCAAAACGCCCTTTCAAAAACTTTTAATACAGAGTATTACTTTTACGTGAGTGAGTATACATTTTTATTTGTAATTTTTTTACAAAAAAATATTATATTATTTCGACCAATCAATACTTAACACGTAAATAACTATATTTAATTTAATTTTATTAATATATATGCCAATCGAACATGTAATAATTTCTTCTCTATTCGTGGCATGGAACCCAATGCCTAGTTGGGATAAAATTCATAAGAGACTTTCATATTTAATTAAATGAATTAAAATATATATTAAATAATTTATTTAACTTTTCATAAATCTTTAAAAAAAAATCTCAATCCAATAATTAAATACTCCGTGTAAAAAACTCCATGTTAAAACGGCATAGTTTTGGTGCAATTGAACAAGTCCCTTCCCAAACAGCAAGGGACCGGGGATCCTGGTCCGTCTGTAGCATATGCTTGTCTGAACTAGGGGGCATGTTCGTAAAACCACCAAATGCCAGCTATACGTTACATATAGGAGTATCATATATGTGAATCCAAAACCGGCAAGACGTGGTATCCAACTATTCAATTACACTGCTAGAATCCCGCATATGTCCATAACAGCAGCTCTGTAAGTCGAACAATCTCTCTGACTCTCCCTCTATATCTCTCTCTATATATTATATCTTTCGGACTAGAGCATACATTTATTACAAGTCATCTCATTTTTCTCACTTTCACGGAGAAATCAAAGAAGAAACAGGGTGATCAGAACACATGATGTTATGTGTAACTAAATTACTGTCTTTTTTCATTCTACCGATCTTACTCCTCATATCTTCAACCTTCTTCTCATTCTCATATGGAGCTTCTCACTTTCATCACCCTCAAACCCTACACATTCCGGGTAATCTTTAATTATCTCTTTTTTTTGTTATGTACAAATGGGTCTTAATTGATTTTTTTTTTTTTTTTTCCCGGAAATTTAATTGATTGTTCTTTCCATCGACAGATGTGTTCTCTTCTGTTCTATCAGTACATTGTCGTTATTTTGATGAAAAAACATTTTTTTTTTCCTGGGGAGTATTTTTCTTATTATGTGGGTTTTAATTACTTGTAGGGATGTTCGATCATGATGAGGGTGACTACGGTGCCGTTTCATGGGGAGTGAGGAGGTCTGTTCTCGAGGCGAACAATGGTATGCCTGTAAATAATTCATCTATGATTTTGGCTGCTGAAAAAACCCACAGGAGAGACCCACTTGACAATTTCAATTACTACGAGGGCGGGTGGAATATTAGCGAAGAACATTACATCTCTGTAAGTGTTTCAAACCAATTTAACTTTTTTTTTCTTCTAATTTTGTGAATTTATTTATTTAGTATTATTATTATTTTTTTTATGTTCTAAATTATGCAATCAATTATCTTATATGGGTTTTGATTACGTCTCTGAGTTTGGCTTGATTTTGTAATATTGTTTTGAACATTTGATATGCTTCACTTGTTCTGTCACTTGGGTTTTCCCTTTTATCATCTAATTGTTGCATAATACGCCTACAACAACAAAATTTTAGTTCCTAAAATATTTCCCTCCTCAAGGTTTTTTGCCCTTTTCTTTTTCTTCTTTATTATTTATTTTTTCTTTGTGTAGGCAATTATTATTATTATTATTTTTTCCCATATGATATTGGTTGGTTGTATGATGAGTTGTGATCCCTAAATTTTAGTCAATTATGTCATGAGTTTTGATCATTTTTATTGAAATAATAGTTGGTAGGAATCTTAACAGATTGTACTTTGTAAAATTTCAAATCTTGTGGCTCTTCTTTCTCCTGTTGGTAAACCATGTTCCACCTTTTGGGGTTGAGCAAGTCCTGACACTTCTTTCTTAAAGAATACAAGTAATAGAATTCCAAGGATTCAAGAACCAACTCAAAGCGCGTTTGACTAATCAATCCTACCACAAGCAAAAGAATAATTAATCAAATTTTTCATATACCTAAAAAATGCAACAAAATTCCAAGATTTAGGTGAAAAGCCCTCAAATTAACAGGAAAAACCACAAGCCAAATCCACGGAATATTACTATCTCAAAATAATGAATACACTGATTCTCTCTAACTTTATGTCCAGAATTTAAGGTATTACAATATGCCTAGAAATTACAAAGGTTGCCTAGAGCATTAAAAACCTTAATTTTCTCCATAAATCACACCATTCGCCGAGTTGGAGAAGATCCATTTTTTTTTTTTTTTTTTTTTTTGATAAGTCGAGTTGGAGAAGATCCATGTCATGCGAAGAACCCATTTTTAAGAAATCTGTATCTGGTAGTGGGATCCAAGATGAAATAATCTTCAAAAACCTTTAACGTTTTAGCAATTCCACTATATACCAAAAAGAAGCCCCTCAATCTGCCACCTCTACCTTCTCTTCTTTTTCTTGTGTTTTCTCACATGCGCACCATGCACTATTCGGCCGGTTATTCTTTGTATTTCGCATAGCCTTCTTGATATAACAAGTTCCACATAGCTGTTATGTTGTCATGGGACTAGACCCCGTGATACACCTCCGTTGGAATCCATTTGTCCAACTATATATATGTAGTATTTTTTTTTTTTTTTAATTTCTTTCTTTCTTTCCTGGAACAACCTTTTTTTTTCTTTCAAATCAGATGGGTTCTTGTCATGTTTTCTTCATATGTTGCATCAATTGTTTCTCTATCATCGTAGCTATCCAATGAATTGAACACCAATGTATTTAATGTAAGAACACTGGGTGGCCTTCTTACTCAAAACCATAGCATTTTGACTGTCACAAAGTACCACAGGCTCATCTGTCTTCAAAACTAGCTATAAGAGGAACTGCTTAATCAACATTGTCCCTTCACCTTCTTAGTATTAGAGTAGTGGACAAGATAAACTCCTCCTGTAGTTTAGATTACAATGAATCCATGATATAATACTCAAATCATTATATAGATTATCTACCATCAAATTTAAAGTAACCTTCAAGTTTATAAGAATCTATTTGGCAACATCCCAATGCTCATTCATGATTAGTAACAAACCCACTCATAGCACCAATTGCATGAGAAATGTCTGGCTGTGTGCTAAGCACGACAGACATGAGATTTCTCACTGCAGAAGAGTAGGTAACTAGTTGCAGGTTTCAATTGTGGTGACCACGTGTTTTTCTTAAATAAAAAAGGGTTAATTACAATGACACCCCCTGAGGTTTGTTATATTGACAGCCATATACAACTTAGCCATTAATTGAACAAAGACACCCCCTAGGTTTACAAACTTGAACAATGACACCTCATTTTAAAAAAATGGAGCCAAACACAGCCTTAAGTGACATGAAATGTCTAATATGCCCTAAGATATATTTTAATCCTCACCTAAAATGACCAAACTACCCTCGCAACTCATCTCTCTCTTTCAACATCTCATTATCTCATCTCATCTCATCATCTCATCTTTCTCTCTCTCTCAACCCAGTTCCTCCTCTTCTTCCACACCCTCCCAATCCGTAAATTAAACCCAAATTTCTCTCTATCTCACACACACACAGAGTATCTCTCAAACCCCCATCTCAAACCCCTAATCTCGATTCTTGCTCGCCGATTCCATGTCGCAGTTCCTCTCATGGCCGAACCCTCCACCGGCTGAGCCGCCCGCCGTCGTCGAGTGTTGTGGAGTTGGGTTTTAGATTCGTGTGATGGGTGACTATCTCGATTCAGAAAGCACTTTTAGGACGACGGCTGGCGAGCAAAATGGAGTGCTCAGCCGGTGGAGAGCTTGACTGTGGATAGCTCGGTCGTGGAGGACTCGCGGCGGCCGGTGAAGGCTTGGCTAGTGAGGGCTCGGCCGTGTTTAAGACGGCCTTGGCTGTGGGCGACGGGAAGACAGCCTCGGTTGTGGGCGACGGGTTGTTAACACTGAACAGTGGTGGATAGCTTGGCTGGATAGAATCGGCGACAGTTGGCTCGATTGACTTTGGAACGGCGATGAAGGGCGCGGTTGACTGACAGCGGCGGTGACGGGCGTTGACTCGTTCGAGTTGGACTCGGTGGTGGTAGAGCTCGGATGCGGTGAGCGAGGTTGGTTCAACTCGGCGGCAGTGGCGATGGCTGTGAGTAGACGATGGAGGAATGGACTGCGGTTATGGATGGCTCGGATGAGGGCAATGGCGGGACGGTGATGGGCTCAGCTGTGGGCCTGTGGCGGCTTGATGGCCTGCGGCTGTGGATGGCTCGGATGAGGGCGACGACGGGACGGTGATGGCTCGTGCCGGCTTGATGAACGGCGGGGAAGAAGGGCTCACAAAATGAATGGGCAGATCTAAAAATTGGAAAAAGAAAGGATATTTTGGATGAGGGTAATTTGGTCATTTTACATGGTCAAAGGGTAAACATGTATTTTCATCATATTTGGGGTGTCATTGTTCAAGTTTGTAAACCTAGGGGGTGTCTTTGTCCAAAAAATAGCTAAGTTGTATATGGCTGTCAATATGGCAAACCTCAGGGGGTGTGGTTGTAATTAACCCATAAAAAAAAGGTTGGCACTTTGAGCTGTGTTCATACTGCTTCCAAGATTGACAAATGTGGTTATTCTTGGATGTGTTTTTATTTTAGAGGACTTCTGTAGGGAGTGTCGTCATGTGTTTGGGATATGTCAGGCTAAATTTAGTGAATTTTATTCGGGACACGTCCATAAAGTGTCTAACTCATGTTCAAGAGTGCATAAAGTGTCAGTATTCAAAACATGCCTGATTCACTTTCATAGGATGTGTCTACATGGAGGGACTGTTCTCTTGTGGTAGGCTTCGTGGTATACACCACACACTTTTGGGTTATACCTATTTTTATCTATATCTTTTCAAGACCATGTAAGACCCAAACCCTGAATTCTTTTTTATCATTTGGGTGTTTGCATAATTTCTCATTTGCATTTTTTCTTTTTTCGTGTTGGTTTGACGAATTTTGTTTTTCTCTCTAATTGCCTTTTATGCAGTCTGTGGCGTTTACTGCTGCACCTTTGTTCCTTATTGCCGCGATCTGGCTTCTGGCATTTGGCCTGTGCTTGCTCACCCTCTGTTTCTGTTATTGCTGCTGCCGAAGACGGCGTTATGGCTATTCTCAAACTGCTTATGCAGTCTCTCTTATTCTTCTTTCTTTCTTCACCATTGCTGCCATGTATCTCTCTCTCTCTCTCTCTCTCTCTCTCTCTCTCTCTCACTCACTCACACACACACACATCTGATTTTAGATTGACTACTTGAGACCCCATTGTTATATTTTTTGGTTTCAGTGTTGGATGCATTGTTCTGTACACTGGACAGGGAAAGTTTCACAGTAGTACAAAGGATACATTGGACTATGTTGTGAGGCAGTCAGAGACCACTGTCCAGGATCTTAGGAATGTATCAGATTATCTTGCTGCAGCTAAGAAGATTGGAGTAGATCAAATTTTTCTACCTCCAGATGTCCAGGACAAAATTGACAATGTTGATGCGATGATTAATGCTTCTGCTAGCACTCTTGAGCACGAGACGAAGAAGAACTCAAAGGATATACGAGACGTTTTGGAGTCCGTGTGAGTTAATGCTTATAACTATTTCATATGTATTGCATGCTATGGGGGTTTACTTTGTGAATGAAATGGCTGAAATATACAATGCAGGATGCTGGCACTTATCATAATTGCTGCTGTGATGCTTCTCATAGCTTTGCTTGGTTTCTGTAAGACATTTGATCATCTTACTCAATTATTCAAGTTTCAGATTTCTAACAGTTGAAGATCTTGCCTCACTTTATTTTATTATTTGATGCAGTATTCTCTGTTCTTGGGATTCAGTTTCTTGTGTACGTGTAAGTGACATGAGCGCACATTTCCGTTTTCTTGCTACTTGCAAGCCTGTTAGTTTAATTTACATGACCCCTTTTTTCCCATATTGCTTGCAGTTTGGTGATCATAGGATGGATTCTTGTGGCGGGCACATTTATCTTGTGTGGCGTATTTCTACTTCTCCATAAGTATGTCTATTGGATTATTCTGTTAAATGTTGCCACCTATACTTTTCTATAAAAAAAATTCTTTCCTTCTTTATGAGGCTTTTGGACGCAGTTAATATGGCCTGAAAATATCGTTTGAGAAACTGTGGGTGCCATTTAATTGAGGTTAATCATTGAGTAATCATGTTCAGCGAATTGCTTAAACATTGCCTATAGTTCGAAAGTCCGATAGCTGGTCAATGTATTTTTTGTTAAATTTTAAAATTTACTAGTGATCATATACACTCACATCATCAATGTCAAGCAAGGTGAGATTCTTAGGCAATGTACCATCAATGCTTTCTAGAACTCTGGTGAAAAATGATATGGAGTTCTTTGACTTGGTTGAAAACTTTTATTAGACATTGCAAACTTTGCTGTAAGTATGCAAAACGAAGTTTTGGTAAGATTACCATGAATTATCTCAAATGTGATGAATCTTACTTTTATCGGAAGGGATATTAGTACTACATACATAGAGGCTGGAGTTCAGGACAATGCTGCCCATCCATTGGAAAATTTAGATACACAATTTAGTAATTCTTTCATTCTTTCAAAGAAGTCTGCTGGGAAATGATTGAGTCAATTACATTTTGTAGAGTTAAACTTTTACCAATCCTGGAATAAATGCTGAAAATTTTAGTGAGTAATACGGGGATACTACAATGGATAGACTTGTGTAAATATAAGAATTAAGAGTTAGAATATTAGTAAGAGAATTTAGTACTTTAGAAATCCTGAGACAATGAAATGCCAATTAAGATTACCTATTGAGTGCAGTAAAGCATAGTCAATGGGGGAAGTATTTGGGAAGAGCAGCACATTAGTTAATGTTATGTGCACCTAGACACTCGGAAACAGCAAGCAAGTAAGGAGTACGGTTCCGCATAGGCCGGAGAGCTAGGCTCATCCGGGACAGACACGATCGGAGATCTTGGGTGAACACTCCGTCTCCTATAGCTTCTTTATGGCGAGCTCTTTTTCCTTGGGTGAAGGCAAATTTCATATCCTCCAACAGAGTGATTGGATTTTGGACAATCTTTTACTTGTATGAAAAAGTTCATACATGCTATATCAGAATACGATATTGGCTCTATACGGGGAATTTGTCAGGTTGTTAGGTAGGTGAAGACATGATAGATCTCTAGTTGCTTAGTCTTCTCCTGCTTAAGCATTTACCCATCCTCCGGTCAAGGGGAGGACTGCACCCTCTTGGCTTCCGGAGGTATTATAATAGTCTCTAGGGGTTTGCTTTCTGCTTCACTTGGCGAAAGAGCCATATAAATTTACCTCATAGAAGAAAGGATCTAACAGCAAGAAATCCGTCCATAACTAGCATTACTCACTCTTGCTGCTATAAGAGAGGAGAAAGAAAGGATCCTTACCTCTCGGGAAGATGGTAGGAAGGAAAGGGCATCTCATGTACCATAAATCTCCAATCAAATTTATTTTATTTTATTCTTATCTGCTGTTTCAATATCCATATTGATTGCAGGCACGGGCCCTATTTGGGAGTCAGTGGGGGCAATTGCTCCTACCTTTTTTTTTTTTTTTTGGTATTATATACCTACTGATTCCTTTTCTTTTTTCTTTTTTCTTTTTCTTTTTTGTATGACATGCCTATAAAATTTTAAAATTGCCCCCGCAACATTTTATATCTTGTTTTTAAAGGCCACCCCGTCACATATCTTGTTATTTAATAAAATAATGTTGAGGTCAATTGAAATTTCTTAGTAGATCTGTTTAAATGTATTTTACATTCAAATATTTTGATGGACATTACTTCCTAGCTCCTGAGTTTAAAAAACCAAAATTCCTGAAAATGTTTTGTTCTTTATTTTGTTGGTGTTTGTTATTCCTGCTATATTTTAAAAAAGAAAAATCTTTTAGGCTTATGATAAACTATGAAGTAAGTGATTCTTTGTTCCCTTTTTCTTGGGTATGCAGTAACGTTTTTGCATTATCTTGAGATCAATTAAACTGCTACTGGAAATTCCATACAGTTGCTTTGCTGGTTATGCCAGCAGGATAAAGTAGGAACAGTTCCCAATGTTTTAATTTATTTTTTACCATAATGTATTGACGACCAGTAATCTCTTGCGAGACATGAGATGAAGGTCAAGTGGTGAGACGTTATATAAGTGTCAACTGCACTGGTTGTTTTTTGTTTATATATATATAAACACACACACACGCAATACATATTCATTTTCGCCAATGAGAATACAGCTTCTTAGAAATTTACCTATTTGTTAATGTGTTGAAAAAGAAAACTGTGGAACATTTTTTTAGTGTTATATATGTCATGTTTGCAATCATTTTATTATATATAATTTTCATGAAACTCTCCACATAGCAATAATCAATCCATTCTCACTAATGCACATTTTTCTCTATCTTGTTTGATGAAAAATAAATAACACATTTTTCTTCATATTCAAGTGTGGTAGGAGACACTTGTGTTGCAATGGATCAATGGGTTCAAAATCCCATGGCTCATACAGCTTTAGATGACATTCTCCCCTGTGTGGACAATGCAACTGCCCAAGAAACCCTGTCAGAGAGCAAAGATGTCACTTTCCAATTAATTGGAGTGGTTAACCGAATCATCACCAACGTGTCCAACGGAAATTTTCCACCTAGTGTTACACCTCTCTATTACAATCAATCCGGTCCACTGGTACCTGTTCTCTGTAATCCATTCAGTCCTGACAAAACAGACCGAATTTGTGCAGCTGGTGAAGTGGATTTCAGCAATGCAACACAGGCAAGTTTTGAATCACAATCTATATATAGCTAAGCAACCAGGGTGAATTTATAATTTATCTTATTGATAATTTGTTGGTTTATATTTCATTTGCTTTCAACAAATCCTATATTTCATTAGCTGAATTTCGTTGCTGTTTTCACCGAAAATCTTGTTTAACCCCATGAATACAACAGCTGAAATAGACCAATTGCTTTCATCTTGCTTTACTTCTAGGGAAAATTAATTCTGAATAACGAGAGTTGACGGATGGGGATAGTGATTTGTTTGTAAAGTATGTGCACTATTTTTCTTGTAAAAAGAGGCCCCCTCGAGTTATCCATTGAAAACTAGTTTAATAGACAATGGAAGCACCTACCCTTGTGGCTTCTCCTTTGTTGGTTGCTGACAAGTAGAAAGAAAATTGGAATGAATTTGCAAATTTCTCAATCCATTTGTGTATGTCTAATGCAGGTTTGGAAGAATTATGTGTGCCAAGTTTCAGCTAGTAACATTTGCACCACCGTAGGCCGTTTGACCCCCAACATGTATAACCAAATGACAGCTGCAGTCAATGTGAGCTATGGTTTGTATCGTTATGGCCCATTCCTCGTTGATCTACTAGATTGCACTTTTGTTCGGGAAACATTCACCAGTGTAAGTGAGCATCACTGTCCTGGTTTGAGGCAATATGGCAGCTGGATCTACATTGGGTTGGCTTTGGTCTCATCTGCAGTAATGCTTTCTTTGATCTTCTGGGTACTCTATGCAAGAGAGAGGCGGCACCGGAAATATACCAAACTCGCCAAGACAGCATTTTCTCAGGACTCATTTGAGGAGAAAGGACCATAGGAACAGGAAGTTTTGAGGTTGTATGTTTTCTCCTAAAGTAAGCTCATTTTGTTGTTTGGCTGAGTTTCTTCCAAATTTGTACAGATAATTGAGCACAATATCAAGGCCTATTCACAATGGGGGAAATTATTTTTTCTAGCTTCCTAATTTCTGATGTGGTATGTGTTAGGACATATCCACTTTTTGGATGGCGAGACATATCAACCCTTAACACATGTACTCAACTTTTTTTTTTTTTGGTTTTTTGGAGTAACCGGGCAGTTGTTAGCGGTATCAGTCTCTTGACTCTCTTATTCCCAAAAGGAGGTCAGGAGTTCAAGTCTCAGAAGAGACAAATATGTGTAAGTACCAACTAAGAAAAAATAAAATAAAATAAAAAACTAATACAATATTGGTTACATAGAATTGATGTTTTGAAATTAAAATATGAAATAAATTAAGAAAAATACAATTTTATGCAACTGAACCAAAGTAAAACCTATATCAATTTATCAAATCAAGTCTGTCTCAAGCCCTCCTCATCTTTTGTTATTATGTACACCTACTATAACCCAAAGTCAATGATAGACGGCCACGCCCAGCCAAAGATAGTTCGAATCTTGGAGGAAACTTGAGCTGAGATTTTTGGTTTGTACTTTGTAGTAGAGTGTGTGGACCTAGGACATAGATCTAGCCCTAGCTCAATAAATAGTCCACTTAATGCTGAGGCAGCCCAAATGTGTAGGCATGACTTTGAACTTCTACATGGCTTGGGCTGACTATTGACAAGGGTTTGGATTACCGAGCCAGCCACGTCTCACCTTAGGAACCAGGACTTGGGCAGTTCCATGTCACTTTCATTTCATCTTTATTCCACCCATTTTTGGGCCTTGTATGTCAAGACATTTATTGACATTTTCTTTTGTTTTTTTTTTTTCTTTTTTACCATGACAAGAAATTCCGGCACAACTTGAACTACTTACTCCGTCTCAACAAAAATTGTCAGTCTTTTTTTCTGTTTTTTTTTTTTTTTTTTTTTTTGTTATTTCAAAATTGAAAAATCAAAGTACAAGGTACTTTTTTTTATAACATTATTAATTTAACCTTCTTGAACTTATAAAAAATAAAACATCACATTTCTATGAATCTATTATGGATAATTTGATAATTTATTCATTACGAATACAATAAAAAAATACTAAAGCACATTATCTTAAAAAATTAGATTCTCAACACCAAACATTCTTTTTAAAACTGAGGAAATATAAAAATAAAATTCACCATTATCTTTTCTCACTATAATATACAATTCCTAATAATGTTATGAGAAAAACCTACTTAAGTTACAAAAGAAAGTGGTTAAAATTATATATTTTTGATATAGTATGGGCAAATTGAAAACCACTATGATAGTGTTAAAAACTGTTTAATGTGGGAATGTAAACAAAAGTAAATATTTAGGGTTCCATTCTAAATCTAATCACTTAAAAACTTAGAGATAGAGAGAGAAAAGAGGGGGGTGTTTTATTATTCATGGTGTGAAAGAAACAATTTTTCAAATACACTTTTTTTTTCTTTTTTCTTTTTTCTTTTTTTAATAAAGATGATTCGATTCTCACTCAAAGTTCAAACCAGATAATTGACGTCATAATAAAGGTGATTTTTGAGAAAAAAAAAATTTTTGGGTTTGTTTGGTTGATTTGTCTGAAAGCAGTATTTAACTCTAGAGGATTTTTCTTTTCTTTTCTTTTTTTTCTTTTTTTTTTATACAATCTAGAGTATTATAAAAAGGCTATTCTTTAACATACTTTTTAAAAATTAAGTATATATATATATATATATATATATTAGGATTCATTTGGCAGATAATGCTGGCAGTTTTTATTTTTAATATATATATATCATATTACAATTTAAAATAGTTAAATTTTCATTAATGATTCACTTGATCTCTCAATCTTGTTTAAAAGAAAATTTTAGATGATTTCGAAATTATTAATCTCGACGAATTATTATAATACATATAAATAAAAAGAATTAAATAAAATTTATACAATTTCAACACAATTACTTATGTGTTTACAGGTAATTGACCAGTAACAATTGTGGGGGATTAAGTTCTTCTCTTTTACCCAATAAAATTTCAAGATGTCGGATTGTCATGTAGATTATAAATTTGAAATATTACAGTGTTTCCAACTACAATAAAGATGCTGACTTGTTTGGCCAAAACAATTAAACTTCAAAACAACACTGTCCCAATCTGAAGAGTCGTGCACATTTTTTTTTTTTTTTCTTCCCCTCAAACTCTCTTTTTCAATCTACCATCAAAAAGACACCAAGTTTCTCTCTCTACTCTTACCCTAGTAGGAGTATTGTCCTTTTGTGTTGTTGTCTGCTTAAATAAGCTCTCATAAGCCTATTTCAAAGCTGAATGAAATTTGTCAAAGCACCCAAAAATGGTAGTTGTAAAAGCTGGAAGCCGACCACCATGGGTTGGTCTTGGAGCAGCCATTTGGGTCCAAATCGCTGCTGGGAACTCGTACAATTTCCCTCTGTACTCTCCGGCTCTGAAATCAGTTATGGGTTATAGTCAGCAACAGCTCACTATTCTTGGAGTGGCCAATGATATTGGAGAGAATGTGGGTATTCTTCCTGGCATCGCCTGCAACAAATTCCCACCTTGGGCTGTGCTTTTGGTTGGTGTTTGTTCCTGTTTCTTGGGCTATGGTGTCCTCTGGCTTGCTGTTAGCCAGACTGTTCAGTCCCTCCCTTACTGGGTGGTGAGTTTCGCTCAATTTCCTTCTCTCTAAGATCAATTTTTTGGTACCCATTTGGATCGATTGCTTAGATTAACAATTTAACTGGGTGTGTCTTAGTAAATTTTTTGCATACCAATTGGTTGTTTAATTGCTGTGGAGACTACTGTACGTTTTTGGTACCCATTTGGATTGATTGCTTAGATTAACTGGGTGTCTTATTAATTTTTTTTGTATACCAATTTGTTGTTTTATTGCTTGGAAACTACAGCCTCGTGAGTAAATTTCCCCCTCTGGTAAATTTTATGTTATAAGTATCTGCAGATTCATTGTTATGCCGCATGGGGACTTGTTTGTCTGGAAATACTGGCAGGGGTTCTTATTTCTGGACAAAATCGTGTATACCCATTGTTTTAATTTCTAGAAGGATTTTTGAATTTGGGTTATTGCAATTATGTTCGGTTGCATATACATAGATTGTCATTGGATTTTGGGGATTAGTTTATCACAACATGATAACTCTTAAAGGACTTAATAATGCAACTGCACATCAAGGGAATCACAAGCTTTTCCGTACTTCCCCAATCAAGCATGCCATTGGAAGAGAAGTAAAATTAAATTCTTTTCAGTTAAAATTATATATGCCGTGTCCTTGTTATGACATTCTTTATATGACAAGGGTGATTAGAATATACATTTATAAGTTTCATACAATCATAAAATATTGGATTTTTAATTATCGTGAAGTAATGTTTGTCGACCAAGAGCGTAGCTCAAGTGGTATCTCCTCCTCCTCCCAAATGGGAGGTTGGGGGTTCAAGTATTGGGAACAAATGGGTGCTTGTGTAACTTCCCTTACCAAAAGAAAGAAAAAAGAGTTAAGTGATGTTTGTTGGTGTAACGACCCAAACCCGATGGTCTGAATCGTTAACCAGGTCCTTATTCGAACCCGAGGTCAACTAAAGACACTACCGTCCTTTCCTATGTCAATACATAATATATGTGTCATTCCAGGGTTTATAAAAAATAATAATAATAATAATAAAATGAGATTATAATTACAAAATATGCCAAGACAGTCCACTAACCCCTCAAAACCTATGGAGGAGCGTTGTCCGCCACTTCCCTTCCATATCGTGAAAAATATTAATAATAAAATGGGGTAACCGCTCAGTAGGAAGTGTCTAAGACACACTTCTTACGACCCCGTGAATCCACATAAAACATAGGGTAGAAGTAAACGGGATCATGTCTCGGGGAAAACAAATAAAGCAACGATAATATCAACAAATACATACGCAAGTTGTCTAACCACCAAATGTACAATGTATGCCAATGAAATGCCATGACATGCAATGTCGCTTCCCATTTCCGAAACAATACCGTTTCAACATCCAAACCGTTAGTGCAATCCGACCCAAGGCACCTCCAAAGTGTCATGAAAGGAGGATTGGCTAACTTTCCACGACCACAAGGTAACTCCAAGGCGTCGTATCTGGCCTAGTTAGCTCACGCTAAGGTCTCTCCCTAGTCTCCTCTAGACTACACTAACCACTAGGCGCCTCCTAGGCGTCTGGTTTTCACAAACACTTTTCAAAAACTTTTCCCAAAAATAATTTCATTTGTTTTTAAAACAAACTTTTCCCTTTACTTTTCCAATGGCAATGCATGAATTATGCAATTCCTTCAATATTATGACAATATAAAAATTTCGTACATATCATCCACATCATTTAGGCGTGTTTAAAACATGAATTTCCACACAATATCACATTTTCATATTTCTAAATCGTGGCATTTTACATACTTTCAATTCGCAAATCCAGCAACTTAATTACATAAGGTATAAAATAAAATCATTTATTTTCATAACTACAACATCATTTTTCATAGCAATTTAAAATCATAAGACATATAATACATCAACACTAAGCATGCTTCTTCACCACAAGAATTTAATCATATTCATAAGTTCACTTAACACATAACATGCCTTTATCACCTTAAATACCAACAACCACAACAAACATAATCAAGATAATTAAAATTAAGCATGCTTAGAGTCAAATTAAAGGAAAAATTCACAAGAAATCCAAGAAATTGTGGATTAGAGCACCCCTACCTCAAAATAGATGAAAAGCCCCAATTTACACCCAAAATTCGAAACTTCAAAAGTGCTCCAAACTAGAAATTGCTCCGATCAAAACGAAGGTCTCGACGTGCTCATCAACTTTGCCTTAAGTGGCAAGATCAATTCCCAAAGAAAATCTCTAGATCATGGCTTGAAATTGTGTAGAAAAGAAAAAAGAAAAAAAAAAGAAATAAGAGTGAGGGAGAAAACTGACGTGAGAAAGTGAGAAATGTGGTCTGTGTAATGGCCTTAAGGCCATTATAATGAAACATACTAGTGGGCCCCACAAACAAACAAAACTCTTCCATTATTAACATCACACACACACACACACACATACTAATCAGGATCATTACAGTTGGACTAATGAAAAGAAAATTAATGTTTCTTGAACACTATCTTTATATTTTAAAATTATGTACTTTACTGTCATGGTTTTATCCTACATTTCTAAGATATGTCACGCCAACTATTTGTGCCATATCATGTCTGTTCTTTTTTTTTTTGGTCCATACGTTTTAAATGTTCGGTTAGATTCTATTGTGACAACATTCGAATCTTACAAATTTACGCTGCATGGCTTATTATACACTGAAGGGGTTGGTTAGCTTCCATCAAGTCTACTTTACCATTATCCCCGTGTACTTTGTCTTTATTCCTGCTGCTGAAAATTGCAATTAGAATTTAGTACTTTTAGAGGGATCTTTATGTTCTCAGTTGGCGTGGAGAAATAGGAGAAATACTACTCAGTAGACTTGCCAATCATTCCCAATTGTCATGGTGGTCTTTAAGTTGGCAACTTGTTTTCTCTTGAAAATTTAGCATTACTTCCGAGAAAACTTAATAGTGTCTAGCATGCTGTGATTGGTTTAAAGAACATGGAGCTCTTATGAGCAGCTGGAATCAAATCCGCCTAAAGGAAGTACCCATTTTGCCCATTGAAATTCTGTTTGTCAAAGCTTGCCTTTCATTGCCCATCATTAGACTTCTCTTAGGTCAAATTTTCAATATCAACTTAGTTAGGCCTTCATAGAATTTTTTTTTCCTTCCCTTTTTCACCCTCCATCATTTTAAAGTTATAATTTTGTAATCCCATACTCTTTTATTATGCGTATCACTGTTAATTATGGTCATATAGAGGGCCTAACCTTTCCTCATCTTTCTCCTGTCCCTTCCCAAGTAATAATTTTGTAGGAGAGAGTTTTTGAAGGAAAATGTGAAGTTAAAATTAGAGACATGTGTCAAAGAAATGATGGGGCAATGTTGGCTCATACTTTATCCTGTGGAAGAGGAAGATACAATCTGTTGCTTACCTTGTTATTCATTATGTGGAAGCCTAGTTTACTTTGTTTTTCTTTTATCATTAGCTGGTTTTTTGTTGCAATTTTTTATCCATCTTGAATGCCCTTTTCTGGCCTCTTAGCCTTTTAGGTTTTTAAGGTCACTCAGACAAATTGGTTGTATAGAAATATTCTTCTTTCATTTTGATTAATTTAATAAGGAAGGAGTAGAAGAATATTTTAAGGACATATATGAGTCTAAGGAAGTGATCAAGCATGGAAACTCTACTTGGTTTAGAAAGAATTTTGTGGGATTCTAGTCTTCTTTGTACTCCACTATTAGGAAGGAAAAAATAAAAAAATAAAAATTCATCCTTGTTCTAAGCAGAACTTTTTGCCCTTGGAACCCATCCTTAGCATACTCACGCATTTTCTTGATAACTCAACTTTCAGGGAATCAAGTTCTGTCGTGTTGGATGTGGTGTGATAGCCCAGTGGTAGAGCATGTGGTTCTTGTGGCCAAAGGCCCAGTTTCGAATCCCCATTCCATCAATATGTCAGTTGCTTTAATTTCCGGGAAAAAAAATAATAATAATAGTTCTGTCTTGTGTTGGGAAAATAATAATATATTATGAATGTTGCATTTTATTTACCCTTGGTAATTCCTTGGCATCTGGAAAGCCAGCACGAGAAAGACTGGTGCACTCTGCTTAAGTCTGAAGGAGACAAGGAGGTAAAGAATGTGAACTACTCTAGCATTCATGTGGAAGGTGATAGTCCAGTGCCATTGGTTTTTTCTCTGTGAATCTCAGAAAATGTTACAATAGGTTACAGGTATTTGATATTTCCTTGAATTGGGTGAAGTCTCTATCTTGGTTCTCTAATTTGAAGATTTGAGATGTAGATTTCCCTTCTAAAAGAAGTTCGTTCTTACCTTAGGATCTGGAAGCGAATTGAATGTTCTCTTACTTTGTCTTCTTCACGGGGGTTAGCTTTTCTGGATTTATTTTTATAAAGTATTTACCCTCCTTAATGTATAATTTTAGTTGTTTAGGCAGTTGAATTCCAAATTTAAAGTATAATTTAGTTGTTTGAATGTGGTCTAGAGGTTTACACATTATCTTGTTTATGATATTTTAATTTTCTTGTAATATATATATATATATATGATTGGTTAGATGTTTATTTTACTAAGGTAGAAACAAGGAAAATCAGTGTCTCAGCTCCTAAAAAGTAGTGAAAATAATTAAGTATAGACCTGTATTTCACGAAGTTACCTCTTTCTTGTACCACTTATTAAGAAATTAAGCATAAGTAGCAATGGAAGAGGTTGATTATGTCCTATGATACCTGAGATACTGGAATTTATATGGAATATTAGAAATAATATTCGATCTTTTGGATTAAGTTGAACCCTGGTCACTCTTTCATTCAGTGTAATACTATAGGAGATGCTATAAATGAATGAAGTATGAGAATCAGTGCATTGCCTCTAGGATGAGAGAACCTGGCACTCTAGTAGGCTCATCTTGTCTGCAACTTTTATGTTTCCATGTACCTTTTTGACATTTCTGAAGGAGAGAGTGTTCATTGTAGAAAGAATAATCTAGCGTCATGCTTTCCAGATCAACTGAAAAGCAAAACACTGCTTATACAAAGATTATACTTAATTTTTTAATTACTTGATTATGGTTTTATTGAAAAAAAGATTACTCGCGGTGACAAGGCCTGAAGGTACTCCCTTGGTGTCCAAGTAGCAAATCAGTCAAAAAGCATCCTGAAATTTTTCATCCTAATGCACTCGATTTTTCCATAACATCTTAAATTTTTCCTTCTTTTTTTTTTTTTTCAGCTTCAGATATTGTGCGAAGAACAGGACCTTGCCATGTTCACTTATGCTCCCTTTGTTTCAACATAAAATATGTGTGTGTGTGTGTGTGTGTTTTTTCCCAATGTTTGGTTGCACAATAGAATGGTAAAATATTTTCCAAATTAAATGAATGATATATATTTTTTTGGTAAGCCAAGTTTGGCAGTTTGATTAAGCTTGGTCTGTAAGTCCCTGGCTGCAATTCAATCATTAAGAGAAAATTATTACTGGTACTATGGTCAGGTGTTTTTTAAGATGGCATCTAGCAAAAATCTTGCTGCCAAATTTTGTAAATATTCCAGAATCCGTCATCAGTACACATCAGACACAAACTTAAGGAGTTTGAGATTTAAAAAACAAAATTGATATTATATTATTTGACATCTTATGAAACTACTAAATTATCCTCAAAAAATATAATATGGCATATGTGAATTAACCATTGTGATAATTTAATTGGACTCATTTGAACAGATGGATCTAAGTTGATATTGTAATTGGGTTGGAATTGGATCTTGATCTAACCTGTTGACTGCTCTAGTTCAGAACTCCTGGTGAAGGTCCGTTCCAATATATCCCTATACCAAATGGAGGAAATAATATCTATGATTAATATTGTTGGAAAATTCCTAAAATTCCCTTTCTCCTTTCTTTTTTTTTTTTTTTTTTTTCTTTCTTGCATTTAGAATCAATTTGTTTATTTACAGTCTAGCATGCTATAATATCTTAATTTTGTTGTTGCATTCAGGGGCTTGAGTTCAGAACAATAGTGTTTCAGTTCCAGCGCATAAGTATATACTTCTAATCCAAGTATTTTTAATCTCTGGCAGTTGTGGCTTGCACTCTGTCTTGCTACTCATAGCAGTGCATGGTTTGGCACAGCGGTGCTTGTGACTAATATGAGGAACTTCCCTCTTAGTAGGGGCACAGTTGCTGGCATTCTCAAAGGCTATATTGGGCTTAGTGCTGCAGTATATACCGAGGTGTACACTATGGTGCTGAATGAGTCTGCTTCAAAACTATTGCTATTGCTCACAATTGGGCTTCCAGTTATATGTTTGGCAATGATATATCTTATTCGGCCTTGTACTCCAGCTTCTGGCGAAGACTCTTCCGTCCATGTCCATTTTCTGTTTACCCAGGCTGCAAGTATCTTTCTTGCCATCTATCTTCTCACAACCACAATATTGAAAGACATATTATCTCTAAGTAATGCCATTTCCTACACATTGATCGCCATAATGGTTATTCTTCTAATGTCTCCTCTTGCAATCCCCGTCAAAATGACATTATTTCCTGCAACTACCAAGAAATTTGGCCCACCAGTTAGTTCTTCAGATGATTTGGTTGCAGAAGGTGGTGATTCAAATCAAACAGATCCTTTATTGACTCCATCTTCATCGCCGGCATATCTTGGAAGTTTTCATGAAAGTGAAGATTCTTCAGATATAGAGATACTTCTGGCTATGGGAGAGGGGGCGGTGAAGAAGAAAAGGAAACCCAGAAGGGGGGAGGATTTCAAGTTCGGCCAAGCTTTGATTAAGGCCGATTTCTGGCTTCTGTGGCTAGTATACTTCCTTGGGGTTGGTTCTGGAGTAACCGTTCTCAATAATTTGGCACAAATTGGAGTTGCTCTAGGTAATGATGATGCAACAATATTATTGTCTCTATTCAGCTTTTGCAACTTTCTGGGCCGTCTTGGATCCGGGGCTGTTTCTGAACACTTTGTGAGGTAATTGCTATCTGGCTTTGGTATAATAAGTGGTACAACAGTATATCATTAGTTATTGGATCTTAGAAGCACTCCCAAATTACACCCTACTTTTTTGGTTGCAGGACATAAATATGGTTTCACTGTATGTAATTTAGTATTTCTCAATTACTTTCTGAATATAGTATACCCTTATCTTCTTTTTCCTAAATTATTTTTTTAGAATTAATTATTTTAAATTCTTGTTGAATCTGGTATTCATGGCTTCCAACTTTTTCATGATATTATGTAGATTACCGAGGAGGTCTAAATGCATTCCCATCTCAGGATAAAAAGTTTAACCTCAAAGTTGAATGTACGACAGACGATTCTTTTTAATAGTTTGCAAGGGTCGTAAACTTGGTAGTTCTGTTTATTACAGGTCAAGAACAATTCCTCGAACAATTTGGATGACAGTCACACAGATGATCATGATCGTAGTATTTCTTCTTTATGCGTCAGCTCTCAGTGGTACCCTTTATGCTGCAACAGCATTGCTTGGGATTTGTTACGGTGTTCAGTTTGGTATAATGATTCCAACTGCCTCGGAGCTTTTTGGCTTGAAACATTTTGGTATAATATTCAACTTTATGCAGCTAGGCAATCCTATTGGTGCACTTCTCTTCTCGGGTGGTCTTGCTGGTTATATTTATGACTTAGAGGCTGAGAAGCAAGGAGGGTCCTCGTGCTTGGGTGCCAATTGCTTTAGAGTCACATTCCTGTTTCTGGCCGGTGTCTGTGGTCTGGGCACTATATTGAGCATTATTCTCACAGTCAGAATAAGACCAGTCTACCAGATGCTGTATGGTGGGGGTTCTTTCCGACTGCCTCCAAGTTCGAACCACTGATTCTCGGAAACTATGCACTTCTTAGAAATTGGGGTATATGCGCTTTATAAAGGAATGTAATAAATTTTTTGAGCTCTAGGTGAATTGCATGTTTTGCACTCGTCACTTTTTGTGCTCTGAAAGTAGCTGAGCTTCAGTTCTCTCTCAACTAACGGCTTGTCTCACGGCTGACGGTTCATCTGGGAAAGATTTTGAAGCTTCTATGTATGTTGTACCTACATGGAAAAGATTGCACTTTGGTCATCAAATTCTGTTAGTTATATTATTTTTATGAGGCTTGATCTCTCTTTTATTATGGAGAGGATCACATCTTGTGAATTTTGTGTGAATTGAGAAGAGACTTTCTTCCTAAATAAATGAGCTATGACATTATGGTAGTTGAAGTGCAAGTGAGTGTATAATACTAAAACTGTGTGACAGTATATTAATATGCCTTCCTATAGACTTTGGTTACTGAGGATTGTTTAAAGATCTTTCAATTATGTTTTCCTTCAAATCTGATACAAATTTATATTCTTCATTGCATGTGAAAGTCTTGTAATTGCTATGGATTGATCCAGTTTCCATCTGGTTTGCGAACATCCCTTGACAGAATGGTTGATGCTTCAATCAATCAAATCTCATATTTCACTTGATGAAAGGAAAATTCGGCCTCGTTTTCTTTCCAGAGTCATAGGGTCGGTCTGTTTGGTTCAACTTTTGACAGTAGTTTTCTGTTCTCATAAAGTTTGAAGGTTTGAAAAATGACAATGGCCTCAAAGCTGAGATGAGGGTTCAAAGATCATCTATCCTTCTCCACCACTTCCTTATGGAAAATGACAGAAATGACTGTCTGAAAAGAAACTGCAAGAAAATGAAAAAGAAAATCTAGCAGAATGATATTTACAAAAACCAAGTCCTTGGTGGTTTCCCTTTGTATCAAAAGATAAAGACATGAACATGGAAAAGATGGGGACATTCCTTTACTGAAAGAGACACTAACAATAGTGCTAAAGTGGCCTTTTATCACTACTCACAACTAAAGAGAGAGATACCAAGAGTGTTCTGAATCACACAATCCAAAACTCTCTAGTGGAAGTAAACCATCATCAATGGTAAAAATCTTCATGTAGGCTTCAAATCCTGAAACATGGTATCCCACCTGATATGCTCAACACCCTTGGACCAATACCCATCATCATAGCGGTCCATCTTCTCGTCGTCGTGGAGATCATGGATCATTGGACTTGAGAAACTATCAATCCGAGGACCGGCAATGACCACAGGACTACCATTTGTAAGCAGAAGTGTATTGTCTTGCTTAGCCATCAGCAGCCTCTTGCTCTTCTTCTTCAACAAGCCTCCTTTCCATCTCGAACAACGCCTTGGCACCACCACAAGAGCTGAGTCCTCACGACGAATCCATGTCCAGATGTACTTTGCAAGACACCTGTTCGTTCTCTTGATCGCGACAATAAGCCTTGACATGGGATGTGAGCTTCCTCTTTCCTTCCTGGCAAGCTTGAGAATTTCAAGCCTGTGTTTGGCTATGGAGATGCCCATGCTTTGAAGGAACTCATGGTTGAAGTAAGCTATGTCGTCTTCTTCAAGCTCATTGTGAGAAAATGCTAAACCATACTCATACACAAGGGAAGAGTCAAGGCCTGTTTTTGATAGCCATGAGAACCAGTCCATGGGTTGTTGTGTGGTATGGATATGCTTGCATTCAATGGATAGATATATGTGTATAAAGTAGATGGTGAAGAGCAAATAGGAAATGAGGGTGTTGAAGTTGATGGCTAAATTGACTTTAATTTAGTTTTCTCATCACTTGGATGGTAGTTGAACTTGAGAGTGACAAAAGAAAAGAAAGGGATGTGGTTGTTTATGGTCATGGTCCCTCCAAAAATGGGATGCAATGTAAAGGTTAAGTCTGTGGGTCACGACTCCTCTGTGTCGTGTGTTTTGTGTTGTTGGGGCAAAATGGGATCGAAGGACTCAAATTTCAACAAATTGCCATTTTGATGAATATAAGCACCATTTGGTAGTTAGCTTAATTCCAAAAGCAATACCTTTCTTGCAATGTGAGGAAAGGATTTACAATATTTTTTCTGCAATAGTAAGCCTAATTTACTGGCCTTTATACTTTGAAATATATCACAATTTTCTTACCAATTTGTGATTTCTCAGTAATATGTCAATTTATCAGATTGTTGGTGCCGTTTTAATGGTAATGTAATGATGCAACATGAGCTATTTCAAATCAAATGAATTTGAATTTTCATTATTTTAGAAAAAATGACACTAACCATGAAACTATAATATCATTTTCAATGGTAGTAAAACTTTAGAATAATGCATTCTGTCACAGTTTCAAGAAAGTAAAAGAAATCTGAATGGGATCTACCTTTTTTGGGCAAGACAAAATGGGGAAGCCTCGGAGAACAGAGCTTTTTTTCTTTTTTTTTTTAACTTTTACTTGATTCTCATTTGTGTTAGGTTTTGTCCTATATCAATAATTAATTTCATGAAATGGTCTTAGTAGTCATTCTCTGACCATAGTTATGCTTATGCAAAACCACCTCCAAATGGTTCTAACTTACACAAATTCTGAATTTTACCATACCAAATGCAAATGGAAAAGGCTAGCAACAATCAATTAATTTGGGGGATATAAACAACATTAATTATGGAAGTGACAAAAAAGTAGTGATCTAGTACCAAAATGTCACTAGTCTAACTATATCAGGTCACTACTTTTTAAAAGAAGATCACAAGTTTGAGCTTTAGTGTCACTACTTTCTAAAAGAAAATCACAAGTTTGAGCTTTAGTAAAAGCATGTGTGGGTAAATACCAACTAAAAAAGAAAGAAAAAAAGAAATAGCAATACATCACACCATATCCGTATTGACAAGAGTCCTATGTTACATAAAATCTTTACAACATGCCTAAACTACACGAATGACATTTTAACATGGTGTTTGATGTGTTAGGTAGTCTTGCACCTAGACATGTAATGTGGTGCATGTATATATACATGTGTGTGTGTGTATATAGATGGCCAACAAAAAGGGATAAATTCTTGAGGAAAAACAAAAGGCATCATGTTTGGCTCTAATTGTAGGATCCACACGGTTACCCCCGTTAATCATGATGGTAATGAATGGTAATAAAATATTTTTCTCCGAACACACAAGGAGTTGCTTTCTCTTTTTCTTTTCTCTTTTTCCTTTTTTTTTTTTTTTCTTTCTCATTTTCCACTTAGCCACTTTGGTGCTTTTTCTTTTTTTCTTTTTTTCTTTGTATGTTTGACCAAGAAAGGGTGTGTGCAAAATGAAATTTGTGACTAGAGGGGTGTTTTGGAGAACATAAGGAAACAAAGATGATCTCTAATTTTTTTTTCTCATATCATCTAAGAATGAGTTTTTATTTTACTACGTATTCATTGCTTCTGATGCAGTTTTCCATATGCTGTGCACTATTTTATTTACTTCTATCTGGTAAGCAAAAATTTGGAGCGGACATACGACCACAAACTATAAAGAAGGGTCATGATGGTAATTATACCATGTCCCATTAGAGTGTTGTGAGGAGCAAGTTATATACAAATATAGTCTTTGATATTATTTGTCAAACAATAATGATAGAGAAGACCAATTCTTTCGTTGAAAATGCTTCCCGCTCAACATTTACATTGAAGTGTACTTTTCACAATGTATTCTCAGGTTTTACAATCGTAGCAACTATAAAAAAATAAAAATCTCCATCCACACAAAGTGCTTTATGTTTTACCAAAATATAAAGAAGTAACAAGCACACAAGAAAATGCTAATTAAATTCCTAAAATTTTAACATTATATAGTCAAAACTTACAAAGAGGGCAATGATCCAAGGATCCAAGCTTAGAAAATGTAACAACCATTCAGAAACAAGGCGATAATTTTTTTTCCTAAAAGATGAGAATATATTGGTGTGTTCGGTACACCGTGTACCGAGACATCAGAATCGTCTGTTCTCGTACGTGTTATGCATGGACGGCTCTAACATGCCAGATGCACACAAAATACCTACTCTTGAAACAGACCCTAGTGTTGCTAAAAAGTGGGCTTTGAGAATGACCCGCCACTAAAATAAAAAACAAGGTCTAATTCTCCTAAAAACAATAAAACACCCAAGCCAAAACTCTCTGGTGGAAGAAACATAAAACCAATCTCTCACCATTCACATTAACATTACAAAAAAAAAATATTTTTTTAAAAAAAACAAAGAGAGAGAGCCACACCACCTTCAAGTAGGTTTCAAATCCTGAAACATTGTATCCCACCTAGTTTCTTCAACTCCAGTCGACCAATATCCATCACCATCACCATCACCATCCACCTTCTCATCCTCGCGAAAATCATCATGAACCAATGGACTCGAAAAGCTATAAACCCTCGGACCAGAAATGTCCATAGGACTACCATTTGTGAGCAAAAGTGTCCCCCCTTGCTTAGCCACAAACAGCCTCTTGTTCCTCTTCAACATAGCACCCTTCCACCTAGAACTATAACTCCGCCTCTGCACCACCACAAGAGCACCCTTGTCCTCGTGACGAGCCCATGTCCGAATACACTTGGCCAGACACCTCTTGGTCCGCTTGATCGCGACAATGAGCCTCGACATGGGATGTGGACTCCCTCCTTTCTCTTTCCTAGCAAGCTTGAGAATCTCCAGCCTGTGCTTGGCTATAGAGATTCCCATGCTTTGGAGAAACTCATGGTTGAAGTAAACTATGTCGTCTTCTTCAAGCTCGTTGTGAGAGAAGGATAGACCGTATTCATACACTAAAGAAGGCTCAAGGCCAGTTTTTGATAGCCATGAAAACCAGTCCATGACTTCAATTGTGTGTGAAATGTTATGTGCTTGTGAGAGTTTGAGATGTGTATATAAATAAAGTGGAAGTTGCTTAATGGACTTACTCTATGGTTGTGCTTTATTGGGGTGGGTGTTAGTTGGAACTTGAGAGTGACTAAAGGTAAGAGTGGCATGTAGGGAATTAAAGGTCATGTTGACTCCAAAAACAGGCCATGTGTGATCAATTTCTTTAGGAGTGAAGAATAAGGTATATATTGCCATCAATCAAGGCTTGGAAAAAGGTTAGTGATTGGTGGGCCACGCACTACTATGTTTTGTTTTTATAGGTGGGGGAAAGTGGATCAATGGGACTCAAATTTCAAACTTTGTGGTGTACCCTTTTGATTTTAGGGTTGGTAATTAGTCCAAAAGCAACGCCTTTTTCTGTATAATGGTTGGCCAAATTTACAGACTAGTTTTTAAAGTTAATTTCATTTAACTTCAACCAATATGGTTGGTGTCATTTGATTAGTAATAGATTGATGAACCTAATTATTAACTCTCTGTTTCTGGTAATCCTTATAAACTACTTTTCTTCATTCATTTCAAAACAAGATTTTCATATCAATCAATTCTCCTGATTTAAAAAACAAAATCATGACCATATGAACATGAGATTAAAATTAGTAAATTGATCCTTAAGGAGCTTTTATTAATTAATAATTAAGTATTATAAATAGGCTCATTACTTTGTTCGACTTTTGGTAATGTAGAAAAGCATTTTTACCAAATCTTACTGAGAATCTACTTTCTCTGGGCAAAACAAAATGGGTAGGTCTCTAGGATAAATAGTATATAATAGTATGAGCTTGATTTGACTTGATTTTTATTTGTGTTAGGTTTTTGTCTATCGTCACTAACTAATTCAAATTCCTAACACATTAATTAGTATAAACATGTATAACATAATATGATCTTAGATTATGTTGAACTTTGTCATTCAGAGCAGTAATCAGTATTAATGATGCTCTATTAGTATAGTGCTCTATCACATCACTGTCATGCAAAACCACCCAAAATGATTTAATCCATGAAGTCTATATATTATGGTTTGACTTGTTGATAAACTACTTGTGTTAGGTTTTTGTCTACCTTCACCAACTAATTTCTAATATATTAACTAGTATAACTATATAGAACACAATATGATCACAATCTGAGTTGAACTATTGTCATTTAACATAATATTGATGATCCTACTATAAGTATAATAGTATAATATTTTTATGACAGACGCCTTTCACCAAATTTACTCAAAAATAATTTAATCTACAAGTATGCTGCGAAACTTAGAATAATGTTCTAGTAAATATATAAAGACTTGACTTCTTGTCTCACTCTTCGAAAACTTAAAAACATATAATGCATGGCAAAAACGATCATAGTCTATAAATTTTGTATCAAGACGTGTAGCGTGATGGTGTGTCAGAACCATTGAATCATTAGTTTATTTAGTAAGAAAAAAGAGGTGAGAGATTCAAGCCTTATAGTGAACATTCAGGGTTATTTACCTTTACTACTAACATTGTCACAAAGTTTACTCAATTGCTCGGACAATAAGTAATTCTTTCCAAGAGTAGAAATACATGGATTTTATAATGTTTTTGTCTCCCCCCAAGTTTCATGTAGCCATATGATCCCATCAACTACAGTAGTGTGGATTTGGATGAATTCACGAGCGCAAATGAGAGTAATTACTGTTTTCCATGTGAAAAGGCAATGGTTGAGTTGTCTAAAATTTGGAGTTTTTGCTTCAAACAAAGAGAAAAGTTAACATTTTCTAATCCACATAGATTTGGTTTGAGATTCACAAGAGCCTAAAGCCAATTGAGTACTCATAGTTTTGCACCCTAAAATTATGACACGGTAAAGCTTTCAGGACATCGTCAGTTTGGGACATAATAAGTAATACAACGACTGCACAAGTACTTCCCTAATTCCTGTAGTCCTATCCTTACTTTTGTTCAAAAGGGTAAAGCATATATCAATGAAGTTATTTTTGTTCCAGTGTACTTAAAAAATAAAAATATTCACGTCGAGATCTTCATAGGGTCAGCCGTAACATTCAGGTGACAATGAAATAACTTTAATATTATGCCGTTCTCTTTAGGTTAATTGTGATATGCATCATGCATATGTCGCTTTGCAATTGAAGACGACTTGAGTTCATGAATTTAATTTTGGTTTGGTAGTTATATTGCTTTCCTGGGCCACCATAATTGAGTTTACAAATTTAGTGAAAACTACATCAAGATTGTTGACAAAATGATGATCTGGTGACATTAATTTAAGTATGCGCGTGCAAGGGGACAAGATTAGCCCTAAACTAGCAAGCTTAAACATAATTAAGTGAATAAATTATAGAGAATAACCATGCCATGTCTATTGTCTACCATTCACATGCAGGAGAAGAGATCATTGTCCTGAATGGTTAGGACACTTGAGTCTCACATGGAAGGTAACTTATAACCTAATTTCTGTCACTTGCAAACTACTTTCAAAAGGCTCGACCAACCAGCAGCAGTTCCACAATACTTGATTATATAACTAGAACCAATTAATAAAGAGACTTCTAAAGCCATTTTATAACCTAATTACTCTCACTTGCAAGTGCTTGGTTTCTTACAAAGCACATACTTGTCACCTTCCAAAACATCCCTAATTATAATTTTTTCCAAATTTCATTACTGGTTGCTTCAACTGAAAAGTGAAAACTATGATAAGATTGCGGTTTTGACAATTCGAACGGTCCTGCGCTTGGCTTCTGCATCCAATCATCAAACAAGCTATCTTCAGTATATATAGATCATTACTTCTCCCAAGCTTTGGAAAAAGCAAAAAGAATAAACTAATTCTATTTACTCTTATGTTTGGTAAGGTAAGTAGGGCATACCCTAGCACCGTACAATCTTAAGATTGAAACTGTTAGGGTTTCTCATTCCAAATGGACTAATTGCAGGGAAATCAACAATTTGAAAATCCATGACAGTGACACCAGAACAATTTCCTTCCTAGGACTACAGTAACATCTAGGAAGGTGGCAATGAGCAAGATACATCTAGAAGGACTATTAGGAGGGGCCATAGCATCAAGCATGCAGTTGGGAAGCATTAATAGATAGCTGCACATTCAGAAGCCAGCAAACGACATTAGGGAAAACCAGCTTGACCACCGGGAGAGAAATTGACATAGAGCGGGAATTGGGAGAGGCATATTTACAAATATATATAACCATCAAAGCTTTTCGTAGAATGCATAATACTCATTTTCCTCTGGGAAAAATGTTTTCTGTATTCAGAGTTCTAAACTGTTTCTTTCAAAGAACTGAACACCAAACATGCCCTAGAATTCCCACTTTGTCATTGAAAAGCATCACCAGATTGGCAGTAATGAATCTGATGTAACTTATTGATTGAGAACATTGTTCTGCAAACAGAGCTGGTGTAGTTCCATCAGCACTACATGTCCTCGAGATTGTGTGGATAAGGTCCAACATATATCAGTGTGTGGTTTGCCAGCAAATGCATTCTAAACAAACATAGAGATGATTTTAAAGGCAGTCACTCTACATTTGGAGATTTATATAGGTTATGATAATTCAGGCAAAAAATAATTCTGAAGGAACAGCAGAGTTTTTACCACTAGTTTTCCTTACCAATACTACTCAAACCCGTCACAGAATATTTTAATATCATGTTCTCTGTATTTAAATGGAACAGTTCGTGGAAAGAACCCAAGATCCATGTCATGAAGGTTCAATAATGAAGCATTGCAAGTCAGTTATAACAACGCATTGAACAGAGTTGTACATTTGATGGGAAATTTGACACTGTAAAAGGATTTGTGGTGCCAGATGATCATCTCCAGTATCACTAACCAGTTCAGTGTTTCAGAGTAGCGTATAAACTATTTTTCGTTCTTTAAGTAAATATTAAACAAACATAGAGACGAATTTAAATGCAGTCACTCTACATTTGGAGATTTATATAGGTTATGAACTTATGATAATTCAGGCAAAAAATAATTCTGAAGGAACAGCGGAGTTTTAACCACTGGTTTTCCTTACCAAGACTACTCAAAACCGTCACAGAATATTTTAAGATCATGTTCTCTGTATTTCAATGGAACGGTTCGTGGAAAAAACCCAAGATCCATGTCATGAAGGTTCAATAATGAAGCATTGCAAGTCAGTTATAACAACGAATTGAACAGAGTTGTACATTTGATGGGAAATTTGACACCATAAAAGGATTTGTGGTGCCAGATGATCATCTCCAGTATCACTAACCAGTTCAGTGTTTCAGAGTAGCATATAAACTATTTTTTGTATCTTTAATTAAGTAATATTCTGGTTATCTACCATCATGCTTCAGTCTGCCAAAAATGTAAGATGAATATAGACCACTATCAAACACTTTCTCTGATAGCTCAATTCTGTGAAGGTAGAGATAAAGATGAATTGGTGACTAAACATGGCAATGCTTTAAGATTTATCTACCATGAGGATTTGAATATCTTGTTAGACTACCAATTGCACCAAAAGCTGTTAAGGAACAGGCAAACAATATATATAAAGCTCTCACACCCTTATTTACATTCGACCCCAACTCACACAAGGAGAGCCAAAAGAACAGACTAGAACAAAGTGCATACTTGCATACGAAATCAGAAAACAGATGCAAATGAGAAGACTTGAACCAAGACATGCAAAAACAAAGCTCTAACACCATGTTAGACTATCAATTGCTTAAAGCTTAAGCCGTTAAGGAATGGGGTCCAACTGTGATAAATTTTTCACATGCAGGTGATTATCCATTCTTTCAAAAACAATTATTTTGTGGGGTAGACAAAATCCATGACCTCTCATGTTTTTATTCACTTGTTCTTGTGGTCCTACCAGTAAATCATTCAGGCCTATTTTCGACCGAATATTGTGCAATCACTTGCTATATCTATTGCATATCTTCACAACTAGTGTTGTCCTTCTACAAAGGAAGTCCTAATAATATTATTCTGTCAATTTTTTACATTACTGAACATTTCCCAAGTCAGATTTATGGGAATTAGGAATCAAACGCCCTTATGCTTAGTATTCTTTCCTTATATGCATCTTGCCTACTGGTCTATAAAAATCTGGGCTGAGAGGAATTCTTCTGTCCATAGTGATTCTAAGAGACCAGCCCTTGAAATTGCTCATCTGGTCCTTTGGAAGTGTTTGTATTTGTCTGGGCTTCTGCTTCAAGACCTTCATCTCCTTCACAGCTTCTTGATTATGGTTTTATACATACATATATATATATATATATATTCTGATTTCTTTGAGTTGGAAATGGTTCATTCCCTTTCATGTTTAGTGAAGATATGCCTTCACTTATCCTTGTTCTTTTGTAGTTCTTTTTAATTCAAACCGTCCCCATTCAGGGAAAAACATTCCATGTTTCAACTTTCAACCTTTGAAATTCATTAAACTAAGTGAAGCCATCATTTTAAAATAAAATGAGCAGGAAATCAAGCCAAAGCAATTTCTAGAACCGTTATCTTTTCTTTTTTATTCTTTTGATTATCAAAGTCCTATGTTCGTGGACATTGAAGGTTGATTATATTCCAGAGCATACAGAACTCCCAATGTCTCAAAGTCTTTGTTATGTAGGAATTAAAATAAATAGAACAATTACTTATCCAATCAAAAAAAAAAAAAATCAATACAACAATTGTATAAAATGATAGTCAAAATTGTGATACCGCTAAAATCAAACCTACAATATATCTTTCTTTTTTTTTTTGTTTTCTTTTTCTTTTTCTTTTCCTGTTTCCCTGATAAGTGTGAAATCCAAGCCCATAATGCAATAACCAACAATACAAGTAAATAACAAAGCTTTATCCAAAAAGTATGCTTCAAAATATCGAATAAAGATACCATAAATCATTTTATTACCAAAGTAACTGATGTATCATACAGTTTAAGTAACCCCTGTTCTAAAAAATTGGGGAAAAGGAAAACAATTTTTTTTTTTTTTTTTTTTTTTTTGATAAGTGAAAATGAAGAGAAATCTTGGGCAAAAAGAAACTACAGCATGAACTATAAAAATGAATTCATTAAAACAACGTACACTTAATGGAACCTCGCGGCAGTGCATTGCTTTTTGCATTCTTCAATCAATCTGTCAATCCATCACAAACTTGTGGAAGATAAATGAGAGAGAGAGGGATTGTATCCAGAAGGAACAAACCCCTCAAATTTTTGTCCAAGTCGCAGCCTTATCTTCACTTCCTAACATAATCACCCCAAGTTGATTACTAGTAAAAAAACTTCACTCCAGTATCAACGGTCTACTTTGTACCCAATGATCTTTCAGTTGACAAAATCACCCAGGTAGCACAGCAACATATGAATTGAAAAGTCCTCCCATAAATAACATTCTGTATAACTTCATCAAACTGATATCTTCCAAAAGTAAGCCTTGAACAGGAAAGAAGGTTACTAAGATTGGCTTTTCATACTGTAGACGTTGCCAATCGTCCCAACGATGCTAACTATGATTGCCATTATCAACATCACCCAAGACAAAAACTTCTCTCCACAGCTCAGACCTTTCCCTTGCTTGCTTAACCGTAATGCAATAAGAGCTGGGAATGTAAAACCCAATGAGACTGCCGTCGTTGCCCCCGTAAACTTGAAAGCTGTCCAAATGTTGGGAATCATAGTAGAGCCAAAATATATAAGTCCTAACAGAACCGCAGTTAAGGCCAAACACCTCTTTCTACTCTCTGATAGAGGAGGTGATCCCTCAAAAATTAGGGCATCTACTGTTTGCCTCAGGGAAAAATGGACAACAGGAAAAACAAGAACCAAATGAAGAATATAGCCAACACGGACAATATAGTTTAAGGCTGTGCTGTAATCAATTCCGAGGTTCTTATCAAAGTTAGTTAGCACGTCAGCTTCAGTATCCTTTCCAAATAGTAGATAACAAGATATAGCAGTCGAAGCATATATCACAATGCAAAGAATAGTTGTGATTCTTCCCACCCGGTTCATCTTCTGAGGTGAGCGTCCTTCAAGCTCGTTATAAATAGGTTGAACATTAAAGTGGCAAACATAAGCATTCGACATTATCGGAATCACCACAAGCAGATCTAAAATTGCCTTCTTTGACCCAAAATCTGGGGTCAACCTAGGAGCCTCAAGTTTCCCTTCAATGAGCTTAATTAATGCTATAACACAAGCAACCACAACAAAAACAACAGCAAGAGCTACTGAAGCAGCAGAAGTCAAGCTCAATGAATCAATCTTATCCAAAGCACAAAGTGGTGCAAGAAAAACAATCAAAACAACCAAAATCAACAACTTCCTATGATCCCACATGCCATTTCCCAACCATTGATCGAAAACACCAACATGATGGAGTGAACCCGACATGACATCGCCCATAATAATTAAATAAACCACCAAAACACCCGCATTGTTCACAATTATTGAAATTTCCGACAAAATCCTAGCAGTTCGACCCAATGCAGATTGAACAACCTCCCCATACGAAGACGCCTTACATTGAACAGAAAACCGGACAAGCAATTCAACACTGATCTCTGACAAAATACCCATTAAAACTATCAAAATAACCCCTAAAATCAAACCTAAAACTTTCATCGTGGCAGGTAAGGCCATAATGCCAGCCCCAATAATCGAAGTGGTAAGGTTAAAGACAGCCCCATAAATCCCAGAACCATCCTTGCCACCAGGAACAATAAGCGGTAGATTATCTAAATCAATATCATCATCGAGATGATCTAAATCATCTACGTTATGTGGTTTGATAAAACCCTGTTCATCATCAATAGATAGCAATTTGGAAGAGCTCTCTTTATGAGAAGATCTAGGGTTTCGAGATCCAAAATCGTTGTCTTGCACTTGTAATTCCACAAAAGAATTCTTAGGCAGAGCTGAATAATTACTATCCATTGTAGTTCATATATAAAGAATTATATATGAGCGATATATGATACGATCAATACATACTTATATATAGAATAATATAAGTAAATGCAAACTTACAGAAATGATGATCTTGAATCCTTCGAATTCTAATTAGACGATAATAGATCGAATTGGGTTTCTGTAATTTGTTGAATGGATTGAAAAGAGAGAAATTGAAACCCTAGATCTCTGGGTCAACGGTTATCTCTCTCAAAGCCCAAAGAGAGAGAATATTAAGAGCAATTTGGATGGAGAGCTTCATATTGGACAACTGGGCTTGGAATTCTGCGCCGTCGATTTGGAAAAATTAATGACAAGTAAATATCGTGTGTTGCGACAGTAGGCTGCTTATAAGGTCCAAACGCAAACTATTGCTGGTTTATGTGGACCCCATTGAAATCAATGGTTTTGGAGAATGCGAACCAAAAACACCAGCATAAACGGTTGTACATGATTTGGTTTCTCGTCAAAATTAAGGAAAAAACGAAAGGATCAAACACCACGTGGACAAACTCACATATTGACGGGCTGGATTTAAACACGTAGGCGACGGAATATGGATAAAGAAACTAAGGTCCTCTGGGCGACTACAAATGGATAATGATACCCAAAACGAATTAGATATGATCAAAATAGATTACGATCCACGTAAATTAGGTTAAGTGCCAAAAAAAAAAAAAAAAAAAATACCCCTATAACACCCTCTTTTAATTTTAATTTGGTGTAAATATTCTTTGTTTACATAAAAAGATTATAATATCCGGTTGCCAGTAAAATGAAATAATATTTAAAAAATAAAGTAAGGTAAAATTATCATTTTAGACAAGAACACGTGTCTTTCAATCCTGATTGATTAGGTTGCCCAATAAAATAAAATAAAACGTGTACAAAAATTTATGTTATATTAAAAAAATAAAATGGAGAAGGGATGAAACACAACTGATAAAAAAAAGGCAGAAGAGGAAGAGAAAGGGGCAAATTAGATTTTTAAATTTACTTTATGTTAATTTTAATCAAAAAGTAGTCAGAGGGGTTTATTTGCACCTTTTCAAAATTTTATAGACTGAAATACGCATTGTTCAAAAATAATAGACTATTTGTACACAAAACCTATATTACAGGGGTTTCTGCACTTAACCCAAAAAAATTCCCCCAACAAACAAAGAGTAAGGGGGACTCGAACACGAGTTCAGTTCACTTCTTGAACTCCTTTTCCCGAGTCAATTTAGAAGGGATTTTGATATCATTTTTCATCTAGCACTCGATTCCCTGCTTTCCTATTCTCATTGCCCTTCTATTCTTGATGCTTGGTTGCAATTGCCTCTGACAATATCCTTGGGCCCGCTAGGAGAGTTGGACATTCTATCAACTAAGTCATTCGGTAATGCTCATCTAAAACGTAAATTAAATTTGGAAGTTTTAGCAGGTTGTTCACTAAATTACAAGCGAGTCTTTCAACTATTGAAAACATTGTCATTTGCCTTCCTCAAGAGAGAAAATTTATTAGATGGTCCTAAGTCCATTGATTCTTAGTGAACCAATTAAATTCAAACTCTCTAATTAAAAAAATAATCCCACAAAAATATTAATATATTACAAATAAATCTCTTGAACTTTCTTTTATGAATTTTGGCTAGTCCAAAATGGTTTTATGTGTGTGTCATGTGGGCGAATTGACATAAAATGAGATGGTCCTCTTTCCTCCCTCTTTTTACAAGAGCAGTTAGTGGGCCAATACCTATGCGGAGCTCCCAAGCCCATCTCTTTAATATTGTCTGTTGTGCGTGTGTTTTTATATCAAAAAATTGGATGAAGACTTTATGAAATTCGAATGCCAGGTTGATATTGCCAGTTTAACCTCCATTGCATATATTTGAATAGGCTGCAAAAGGTAAGCAGAAGCGAGTATTTGGCTGTTAAGGCTTTGGCTTTGTAAAATTGGTTGTTGTTCAAGGTCAGTTTTGTTTTCGAAATTGGTGGTTGTTTGATCCGACTCGAGCTTGAGTGAAGTTGAAAAATTGGAGCTTGAGCTTAGAAAGACCAAGCTTGATTAATTAGAAGCTTTAATGAGTGTTAATAAATGAGCATTGATCTATTAGGATTTTTTTCTTTCCAAGTATACAAAAAAAATTAGTCAAATTTTTTTTGCCATTTATATCATTTTCCATTCAAGAATTTAATGAGGCAACTTATTGTTCATCCAAAACTTAATTTTGCAATCTTTATCATTAATGCTATGTCCGTTACGAAGGAAAGAAGAGAGGCGGAAGGAAAGAAGAGAGGAACACTTGCAGTTTTTTAATTGACTATTTATACCAAATACAACTAAGTGGAGGATTTCGCTTCCTTATTTGTTAGCAATTCACTACAACTATTCGGTACAAGAATCCTTTTTCAGAATAAACAAAACAAATTTCCTTAGTAGAGATGATATAAGGAAATAAATGATAATAGGAAGGATAAGGATGAATCATCCTTCCTCCTTCATAAATTTTCATCCACTCAAATATGGGCGAAAAATATGATAGAATACAAGTAAGCCTATTATAAAAGTTTTAAATTACTAAATCACCCTTCATAAATATTTAATAAATCCCATAAATAAAGTAGTGATGGATTTAATGGTAAAAATAATTTAAAAATTTATCTAATTTGGTGAAAAAGAAAAGAAAAGAGGAAAAAAAAAAAAAAAAAAGAAGAATAGGGATATCTTAAGCATTTTTTCTTGGATTTGGACTTCTATGACCTAATTTGGACCAATGATGTTTGGGGCTCATAAGTGAACTGGGCTTGAAGTCTGCGGCCCAAAATTTAACCTCTTTATTGTGCTATAATAATAACCTAAACTAGACCAGATATTATTATTATTATTTTAATATTATTATTATTAAAAGTTAGATTAATAAATGCAGGAAGTCAAAACCTGTAATTTCAAAATTCATCAAAGACACTAATTATTAGACTATCGAGGCATCTGCAAACTGGGCAAAAGTGCAAAAAAAAAAAAAATCAAAAAAATCCATGTAGTAGTACTACAAAAGTGAAAAATAACTCTTTAGACTGTTAACCCTCGTCTACACAAAATGTTGTAAAAAAAAACAACTTTCGGATCACATCTCAAAATAGAGAGGGCAAAAATTTTGGGACAAATAAAGTAAATTTTGAGTGTAGAAGGCGCGTGATGTGTCAAAGGGGCAAAAAAAGTAACCAGTCGTCTGTTGATCGGTCCCACCGGTCATCTTAGTTTATAGGATCTCGATTCTCGTCAATCCCGAACTATATGAGATATATATATAACATATCGTACAATATTTGTATATCGCGATACATATCATGGTATGTGGATTTGTGGTGTTGGAAATGGAGAAGTCACTTACGTCTTAAGAAAGGACAGTGGGACCCATTGATAAGACTGTCACCCACTTTCAATCAGCTAATATGACCACCATTACCAATCAGCTAATATTACTTTTCCTTTAATTTTCCAAACCAAACTAGTCTTAGAAAAGCGGTCATCGGTTCCATTCATAATTAATTCGTCCGAACAGTTTATCCTTGTCATCATCGAATAACAATACGTGAAAGAAAAATGTTTTCAAACTCGATTATCAATTTTTTTCTCGAATACAGGATGATTGGATCAGTTAAAATTCTTAAAAAAAATTTCGTAAATATTTCTTTCTCTTCGACTCATTTCCTATTCTATTATATTTAGAGAAAGAATCGACAATTGAAATCAGAAGACTTATAATTTTTCTACATGAAATGATGACTTCGTGAGAATAATAAATTTATAGTGTTGCATTGTTACGAGAAGTCTGATACTTCTAAGTCTACTAGGGATATATTTGTGTCATGAGTCATGACACACCACCATTAAAAATTTGAGTATCATATTTTAAATTATCATTATTCATGTTATTTATTTATTTCACAAATAGAGCAATTATCAAACAAGTGACACTAACATAATACGAAGAACCTTGACAGAAATGGAGCAATTGTTAATTTAGATCCACATAGTATGTTAATTTAGAACCACATAATTACAATCAGAATACAATTAAATTAATTATTAATTTTAAATTCACTTATTAGTGTGTCAATTTAGAATTACATAATTATAATCTGAACACAACTAAGTCAATTTTAAATCTATTTATTTTATATTGTGTGTTAACATATGCTGTCAAGTATTACGACGTTGTTAAATAAAAATAAATAAATAAATAAATAAAATAGGTAAAAACAAAAATAGGATCCAAAACCTCTCCTACCAACATGTTAGTTTTATATTTCAAATTTCATCAGTACCTTTATATATAAGTGGTGAAATAGAGTACATCATGAATTTTATGTTAAATTATTGATCGTCTAATTTTTATGAAATTTTTATTAGTTACTATATATTTGTATTTGATGAAAAAAAAGTTTAATAAAGATGAAAAATTCTAGAACTAAACGAGACGAGTGAACAAATTAAACGGGAGGGGTGAAAAGGCCCTCCCGTTGGAGAGTACACCGGTTTAAAACTGTCCCCCTTACCTAAAGAATAAAAAAATAATAATAATAAAATATTAGTGAGTTTTGAACACGGGCCAAAAGCCCTAAACAATACATGTCTTATCGCAATGCTAGCTTCGCACTTCTCCACATCATAATATCGAAAAGAAAGAGATATTTACGAGATTTTATTTTAAGAGTTCCAATATAATCCAATCACATTATATTCGAAAGATGAATCGTCAATTATAATCGGAAGACCTATCATTTCTCTATTAAATAACTACATCTTTTTATAAATACTTTTAATATGTTTTTTAAAGTTTAAATTGATACTTATATATTGGTGGGCCCCAAAAGAATTTTGTTTCTATTGGCGATCATCCGGAAAAGTAGACCCACTTGAAACTTTTAAAGGACACTAACTAAATGGATGTCCCTTAATTTAAATAGCTAAAATACCCAAAAATGAACAAATAAATTGAGAGTAAGGAAGTATATATGTAATTTGATATCACCCCATTTACGGGTTTGGTATGAGTTTTATTTTTGGTATTTTTATTTTTGTCTAGTATGATAGTTAGACTATTTGAACCGAATCATGATTGATCCGATTTGAATCGAATAAGCATTATAAATGATCCGTTCCGATCCGATAATCAAACAAATTATTAGTTAATCAATTCATATCCGATTATTTTGTTTATAGGATATCCAATCCTATAATCGGATTAGAATATTTTATTTTAAACTTCTGCACAAATCAAAGAAATTAAAGAGCAAGAAAA